CTGTATAGATCTAATCTAATACACACGGGGGGATTAGCTATACAGGGCGTAAGCATAAGTGCATACTGCGCAAGAGCGATGAAGGGACTTACTCTGGGTGCGAAGGAAAAGAGCACGCAGAGTGGGGATGCAAGAGGAGTCCTTATATACCAAAAGGAAGCAAAATTGAAAGTCCGCTAGAATGGGGAAGCCTGCCATAAAGAGGTCCGTGGGTGGGAGCACTACATATGATTGTCCAATCACTATCTACGTATTAGCAGTGCCTAATCTAAGATGTCCACCTTAAGTCCATGCCGGGCGGAACGCTGAGCCAGAGCCACTAGGCGCTTCAACACTCCCCCTTGGCGAGGCGATACGGAACGAGGCCAAGAGACTGGGTGTGACGGTTGTGTACCTCAGCCGGTAAAGGCTTTGTGAGAATATCAGCCAGATTGTCGACACCGGGAATCCTAACGAGTTCGATCAGACCTGCTTCGAATTGCTTGTGAACAGCGTGAGCTTTGACGCGGGTGTGTTTCGTGCGATGCTTGACGTTAGGTGACTGGGCAGCGTCAACGACAGATTTATTGTCGCAGTGGAGAGGGACAGGCTTTGCAAGTGGGTGTTCGATGTACTCAGCGAAGATTTCGAGCCACTATAAATGTCAGACTGCTTTGTCAGCTGCGAAGTACTCTGCGTCGAAGGTGTCTCGAGCCACAGAGCGTTGCTTGCAAGAAGACCAACTGGTCACGCCTCTACCGAGTTTGTAAACCCAGCCGGATGTTGAGACGGAGTTGTCCTTGTTGTTCACAAAGTCTGCATTGGTGTAACCGAGCAAACGGCTATCGGTCTTGTTGTTCTGACCTAAACAGAGTCGATAGTTGGAGGTGCCGCGGAGGTACTTGAGAACACAATAGGCGGCAGCTACGTGCTTCGGTGAAGGGTTTGCCTGGTATTGGCAAAGTCGGGCGACGGCAAAGCCAATGTCGGGGCGAGTCCCGAGCATGGCGTACATGAGTGAGCCGAGGAGTGAACGGTAGAGCTTGATGTGGTCTTGTGGACAGTCCGCGGGGTCTTCCTCGTTCTTCTCGAGTACGATGTCAGTGCCGAGTGGTGTGAATGCGGAGTTGCAGTCTTCGTATCCGAATCGTTTGAGAACAGACTCGATGTACGTTTCCTGGTCGAGGTATGTGGCTCGACTCCCCCTATCCCTCGTGACACGAATGCCGAGGTAGTACTTGAGTTTGCCAAGGTCCTTGAGTTGGAACCTTTCCTTCAGTGCCTCTTTCGTTTGTTGGATGAGATCGAGACTGTTCCCATCATAGTTAGGTCGTCAACGTAAACTACTTAAATTTGAGTGGATCCCCCTCGTTGACGGCGAATGAAGATGGATACGTCGCCGGCGTCGTGGCATGCGAATCCAATGTCCTTGAGACAGGCTTTGAGCGTGAGGAACCATGTTCGTCCTGCTTGCTTTAACCCGTATATTGCTTTCCGCAGGTGGCATACTTTGCCTGCGTCCATTACGAAACCTTCAGGTTGCTCCATGTAGAGCTCTTCGTCGAGTTCTCCGTTCAGATACTCTCTATCAAAGTCGATCTGATGGATTTCCCAGTCCTGGATGGTTGCTAGGGCGATGAGGTATTGCCGGGACTCCAGACGGGCGACGGGAGCAAAGGTATCTTCGTAATCGATGCCTTGAACTTGCGTGAACCCCTTGGCTACGAGCCTTGCCTTGTAGCGATCCACTTCTCCGTTCTCATTGTGCTTGACAATGTATACCCATTTGCACTTGATCGCCTTGCGACCCTTCGGTAGGTCGACAAGTTCCCAGGTGCCTTGTTCCAGAAGGCCAGTGACTTCGGCCTGCATGGCAGTCATCCACTCCGCTGAATCCGGTGCATCGGCTGCTTGCTTGTAGGTTTGCAGTTCTCCAGCGATGGAGGAGTCGCCTACGATCGCAGCAATGTCACCTGGTTCCTTGCCTGTGTTCAGTGCTTCCTCGATGTCTGCTTCGGTCGCTCCTGGCCAAATGCTCGTCCATTTCTGAGTTGCCTTGCGCTCGCGGATACCGCGGCAAACACCAGATGACATTGTGGCATGCTCAGGATTGAAGAAGGGGTTGTAGTCCCACGAGGTGGTGTTGGGATTTGGCTGGAGTGGCGGAGGGGCGACGACGCAAGATGGTGAGGCTTTGGCCTTGCCTTTGAATTCAGGCTTGACCGGTGCACTTGGCGGGATTGGCGGAGCTGGATACAACTCTGTTCGAGGTGTAAGGCGTGGTATTTGGGATGCTGTAGACGATTTAGGTGTGTTGGGTTGAGTAGGAGGTGGTACAGGCTGTGGCGGCTGCGTAGGAGCCGGTGGCGTGTTAAGGGGTGGTAGTTTGAGTTCGACAGATGACGGCAGTGTGGATGTAGATCCGGTCAGTTGTGTCGAGGACGGTGAGGGTAGGAGTTTGTTGGGGAAGATCGACTCGTCAAATATCACATCAGTACTCGTGGTGATCTTTCTGCTACGTTTATCCCATAGACGATAACCTTTAGAATTCGTCTCGTAGCCGATAAACACTAGGCTCTCAGCGTTAGCATCGAGTTTCTTGCATTTATCCCCGGGTATGTGGCGATAGGCCTGGCAACTGAAGACTCGAAAGTGGGACACGTCTGGTGTGGTGCCAGTGAGTCGTTCCAAGGGCGTACGCCATGCAATGGCTTTCTTAGGGCCTCTGTTGCATACGTGCACAGCTGTGCGAACAGCTTCTTCCCAAAATCTGTGTGATAACCCAGCGGTTTGTAGCATTGACTTAGTGGCTTCTACGAGCGTGCGGCTCATACGCTCAGCTTTGCCGTTTTGCTGTAGGGTACCGGGTATCGTGCGCTCGTGGATGATCCCAGATTTCTTCAACAAGTTGATGAACTTGTTGGATTGGTATTCACCCCCTCGGTCTGACCGAAAGACCTTGATGACCGTATCGAACTGTCGCGTGATGAGGGCTACGAAGTCTTTGAATGCGGAGAGGAACTCATCCTTTGTTCGCAGATAGTAGACCCATGTGACGTTGGAGCAATCGTCGATGAAGGTGGCGAAGTATCGGTGGCCTGTGAGGGACACCACCGACATAGGTCCGTCGAGGTCAGAGTGAATGAGGTCGAAGGGTTTATTTGCGCGTGAGGTGGACGATGTGGGGAATGTACGCCTGTGTGCTTTGCCCAAGACGCAGCCTTTGCAAGAATGTGAAGGTTTATTCATATCGGCGGCGATGAGGCCTTTGACCGGAGAGGAATCAGCAGCGGCGAGCTTGCGTACTGCCTCCCAGTTTAGGTGACCAAACCGGTGGTGGACAATGTCGAGCGAAGTGGCGTTGTGCGTGGATGCCGCTGTCATGCACCATAATTATAAGTATAGGAAAACTAAAGGAATAATAGGTATTCAAATCAAAAAGAAATCGCTTACTCAGAGCTGCAAAGTAAGCATAAACACTTAAGCTTACTAAAAGTGAATCAATGACTAATAATATGACTCAGCTTCTTAGTAATCTAGAAACTATGCTTAGTAAAGGTCTATGCTCAACAGCTATGAATTACCAAAATATAGTAATACTCTAACAAACATTAGTAATAGCTTACCAATACATTAGTAAAACAGACAGAAGGCTGACTAATACAGACAAAATGCTTATTAATAAAAGTAGAAGTAGCTTAGTAATTACAGTAGAATAGAAGAGCCAGTTTTGCTATTGGCTAAGGAACAACAGGCTGAAAGGTATAAATAGGAGAGGTTCTCTGAGAGAGACGAACACACGAACCCACCAAGCACCACACACACTC